CTACTGAGGGGTAGGTCTGAAAACTCACCCATATCTGGAATTAGTGCTTTATTCTTGGTTGTTGTGCTTTCCTCCACAGGGGTTTCACAGTGCAAGGCTCACTCCAACACTCATGCCCTAAGCACGGGGACTAGATTTTGTATACTTTCTTTGTTCCAGACTGTCTTAAGTTATTCCAGTCAAAGCAGAACAGCTTTATCAGATCAGAGGCGAAGCCACAGAATAGCCTAAGCCAGTGAGATTTTCCTGGAAGCTGAGGGTGGCTTTGAATCCCTGAGGGCCCTCAAACATATCAAGCTCAGGCTTTTTTTTTTTTTCTCCTCCCTCTCTCTCCCTGCAACTAAAGCAGGAAAGAAAAAGAACGAACTTAAAACAAGAGGGACAGCATCAGCCTCTCCCCACCGTGCTCTTTGATAAGAGAGTGTGCACCTCTGCATTTCCCAAACAGAAATACGTGCATGCCTGCGCTCTGCCTTGGAAGTGCCCATGTGTATGAGTGGTAAGTATGACATGTCGGGGACTTGTTGCACTGAAAACCCTGACAAATGTCCAAAGCCCCTTTTACAACTATATTTTGAGCTCTGACCTCTGACTGGTTTTGAATGCATTTAATTTATGCCAAGCTTCTTAACCAGAACTTTACAGCCATGGTGCTGTAAAGAGGAAGGTTTGTATGGCTGGGAGGGGCCAGGATACTGGCACAACCCACGACGCGGGCAGCCCTGGCAGAGGACGGCCAGCACAGCCACTGATTCAGCAGGTATCGACACCACCTTCCACTTGTGAGGCTCAGGAGTGAGTTTTACAGACAGTTGAAACTGCTGGCGGGGAGCCCTGTCTTGCTTGCACAGTAGCTGTCATAGCAGGTACTTTATCCCGCCTTTCCTGTAGTAGCAACACTAGCTGCCATTTGTCTCCAAAGTCAAAATATTTCCATGCCTATCAATAGCTAGTAATTGCTCTGACATCAGTGAACCTCCTTGCAAAGTTCATACTATATTTGTCAGAATTAAACATCAGGCAGCGGAGAGTGAGTCTAATGAGAAGTTTTCAGCTAACAGAATCAAGTTTCCTTTAGCAATGGGCAAGTATGCGTGACTATCTATGGTATCCTAATTAGTGTAATTTACTCTGTCTCCTCTATTAAGGAGCATTTTTCTGCCTACGGACTTTCTAATCATGGAATTAATTGTCACTTTTAACATTATAAAATACTGCTCCTATGACATTGTTCAGATTTGCAGCTCTAAGTGGTGGAGAGAAGAAAGGAGATAAAGTTAAAAATGTTTTGCTCACTTCCGCTTTTTTCAAGAGCATTTTAGGAGTTTAACACACACACACACACACACACACACACAGTTTTGATCCTTGAAATCCCAGATAAGAAAGTGCTTTCTTATCAAGACAAAAAAAAACCAGCAGCATGTTAAGAGATCCTCACTAATTAATTATAGGACTACAGATCAACTTTTTGTTTAGCAGAGGTGCAAACCTGTTGTAATTCCATTGATTCCACTGTCATTGCATCAGAGTAGTAAAAATCTCCCAGAAATCAAAACTTGCCTCTGGAACATATTCCCTCATATCCAACATACTGTCAAATGATCTGAATGCCAGTATCTGTCCATCTGAAACTGATCTGTTCAGCCCTGAACTCTGGAAGGAATATCAGGGCCCTTCTTGATAGACCTTTTAATAGCTCAAATTTAACTTATACAATGTGCCACGACAGCAAAGTGGTAGATGGCATTCAGCATGAAACGAAACAATGACAACAGGCACAGAAATCTGAATTAAAGAAGTAGTTCGATATCCCATTCATCTCTTCCCTACATTCATAAATTGTAGGGAGGAGAATGAATACACTCCTCATGTCATTCAACAGCATTCACTACTGAATGATACGTCTGATGCATTCTTAAAAACAGCCTTCAAGAGACACTGCATCCCCCTCTGAAGTTAAAAACAAACAAACGAACTGATTAAAACCTGTCCTTCTTGATTAAGAGAAATAAAAATAACTCTCACTTGTGTACAATGTATGCTGTAGCTGAAAATTTGGAAAAGAAATCCCTTATGTCAAGATGATGACTGTTACAAATTACATAAATGATATACTAAACTAATAAAAGCCTTTGATTAAAGAAAGATGAATGTATAACTACAACACCTCTTTAGAAAAACAGTACCATCCCCTCTTGGAAGGGGATGCAATTGGTCAAGACCTGTAAGTCTAAAGTCCAAATCCTACAAGGATTTTGTGTTTCAGTAAATGATTTCCACAGGTTGTCAGCCGTCTTTACAGGGAAAACACAAATATTCAGGCAAAAAGTTCTATAATCCTAGCTGCCTCCTTGCAGAGGTGCTGAAAATGTACCAAAGCTGCAGGCACATGAGAAAAGTAACGCACATTGTCTTTACCTTAAAAGAATAGTAAAAGGATCCCCACTCCTCTTCTTCCACCACTTCAGTGAAAGTCACTGTTTCTGTGCAGGTGACAAGGGTAAAATCCAGCCAGTCGGTGCTTCCGTGGGAGCTGCTGCTGGCTTCTGTGAAGGCGATGTCCATCACTGGATTTTGTTCTAGTTGTCTAGGTGCTTATTTATGTAAGAGTTAATGCAGCCAAGCTTCTCCTGTAAGAGCACAGCAGCAAAAACAGCTTCTCACTGCTCCGACACTGGCTACCAGAGGTATAAGGCTTTAATGCAGCTGAGTGATAAAAAAAAAAAAAGAGAGAAAAAAGGCAAGCTGGAGTCATTCCTTTGAGCTCTTCTTTGGTACAACTCTGACGACAGCTGTCCACATGCTCTTTCAAGCAGCAGAACCAGCCCCAGTAAGAGACTCAGCAAACATGGACTCATCCGTACACCTTGCAGACTTAATGTCTTGCACCCAAAGTTGGCAAGTCCGGAGTCAGGTGTAACTTTAAAAGCATCGACATCCTTCCTACATTATAGCTCAGAAGTCTGGTTGTTCCACTCACAGCTTTGCTTTCTTACCTTAGCGCAGCCCACTTTGATTTAGATTACCTGCAGAATTACAGTATATCCATATACGAGTAGCAACATGTTCTCTTGTATTAGCAGAGCCCTATGAAGCTTTTAGGTTTAAGCTGTCATAACTTGCCTGTCAGTAACTGTCTGACTTCTGACATTATCTTTACTAAGAAAACTCACAAATAGGCCCAGGCACCTCCCTTTGCAAAGATACCAAAGATGCTGCACACCCACTGTAAGCAGGGCTTTCTTTACGGCAAGGGGAGCCTTTCTGGAAAGGCATGGCTTCTAGAGGTTGCTGGTGCCACACGCATAGGGGTTGCGCTCAAGGACTTTCCAGAACATGGTAATCAATTGTATTTCTACTCATTGATTGTCTGAGCACTGACTGCTCTTTACCCTCTGCTCTTTTCGATTTATTTCCCTATCTTCAGCAGTGCTGCTGTGGGTTTACACCAATATGATAGATTAGGTTCTTCATACCTCCCCTGACTGGAGTGCAAAATCACATGTAAATCCAGAACTTGTTCGGCTTCGTGGAGCTGCTCTGCCTTGATGTTAGTGCAATTATTAGCAGAATTTGATGTATTTTCACACCCATGCCCCTCACCCCAACTACATTTCACTACTTGCCAACCACAGAACCTAGTCCTGTGTGTATGTGTGTACAGGCAGTACCAGGGGTGTGAGAGCTAAGGCAGAGCATAAACAGTGAAAGAGAAAGCGGTGGCATAAGGGCCTTCTGGCTCTCACAGCCAGTAATAACAGAGGATGTGGGCACAAATACTAAAATGCAGGTCTGGATTTTGCCTCTGAATCCTCCCAGGTTGGGACATGTCTGGATCTAGGGCTTTGATCCAGGCTATTCTGGGTACTGGGGAAACCTCTGAATTTCTGAGCAGTATGCACATCTCTCCAAGTGCTGCCAGAGGGATCGGCTCATCTATATATAATTGGTACAATTCATGATGAGAAAAGATCAGCACTAATTTGTACGTTCCAGTGATCAATATTTAAACAGTAGTGAATGACATGCAGGTTGGAATGTGATCAGATAAATAGAAATGTCCAAGAAGCACTATATTTAGCTCAAAATAATGGGAAAAACACTCCTTAATGCATTATTTGAAAGAGAGGAGGAAATCCTTTTGGAGTCTTTTCCTATTGATGGTACAGGTTGACTCTGAGCTCCTGATAAGAAGTATTTAGGTAGCATTCAATCTTCCTGAAAGCACCCTACCACTTGTTTGCTCTTCTTCCTTCTTCTTCTCTTGCTTTCTTATATTTATAGAATTCCCTTTCTAAGAGTTCAGTGTTATTGCAGTGAATGTTTTTGGCTTTCTCATTCCTACAGAGATGTTATGCTTGAGCATATTATGGGCGCTAAGAGGCTTTTCAGTAGTTACATGGTAATCCAGATCCTGTACAGCTCTCAGAGCTAAACCAAGAGTGACTTTTCTTGTGGGTTTGCCAGTTAATTGCTCTAAGAAGTACTCATGGTATTAAAAAGGCTGTATCATGCCCTGCTCCAGCAATTATCAGTCTACACAGAGGTAATCCGAGTCTTCCATTATTTCTACCTTTTCCATCTTGGCTTTGTGTACTTCATAGTCACCACAACCGTCCTGGTTTGTTGATGGCTGGTTTTGCTAAAATGCTGTTTTTTTTCTATTTAGTCATGGAATATTAAGTTATGGACTGTCTGTAGTACCACTTCTATAATTAACCTAATTCTCAAGGATCCACCACTCCTTTTTTAAGCCTCTACAAAAGCATGTTAGCTCTCTGACGTTTGAGGTTTGGGGTTTTTGTTATTGTTTTCTTCCTCCCTTAGATCAAGCAAGCTATCCGAGTGCCCCTAAAATAAACAGTCAAAGAAGAGACTTTGTTGATTGAATATCAAGGGCCTATAGAGGGAAAGATCAGATCCTAGCGATTCCCCTGTAGAGAATGATTAACTGATTGATTTCTACAAATGGCTTGGTAGTTTTCCTCAGCCAGATCTGTGAAGTCACTGAGAACTTTCAGCGCATGAAGAGATTTAGAGAATTTTACAGAGAGAGAAGTTGAACCTTCCCATTGATTTAATGCAAAATGCTCTCAAATTATTACTCTAGGACAAAGTTTTCCTGATGTGTAGTAAAATGTGATACTGTTTTCTTAACATTTTTAGTTGTTTTTTTCTGGCTCTGGTATTGCACTATGAGCATGCTTCCTAAATAGGAAAGATTAAGCAATTTTGAGAATAATCTTTAAGCAAAGAGAATGGATTATCTGGAAGAAGAACAGAGGACTACTTTTAGAGGCTTATTTATTGACCATTCTCTTTACCTTGATCTCCAAAGCTACACAAAATTAGCTTTCTTAAATACAGCCTTGAACCAGGGGACTCGCAAACCTGAGAAGGGTTCCAGTGGAAGCTGAAATGAGTATTCGGCAACTGCAGTGCATAAAAAAACTGCTATCTTCCATGAGCAGACACAGGGGGGAGACCTCTAACTCTTCTGTTGTGCTTTCCCACCCTGGATTTTCCTGTCTGGCAAGGGGAGGAAGTCTTGTAAAACTGCAGTAACTGAAAGGAGCAGATTTTCCAATGATATGATGAGACTAAGGTAGGTGTCTCTGGAAAAAAAAGATACATTGAGCCTGAAAGATTTTAAAGACCAGTACAAAACAGTGATTTTGACTGTTTAAGCCAGAAATTACTCATGCAGAGACTCTAGTCTCTCCACCACAGCAGTCTTGAAACATAGTACATGGAAACGGGCCGTTTTGTAAATCACATTTTGGAACGCTCTCTGCCATGTGGACACACCTTTGATCGAGATCGCTGTCCAAAGCCCAGTGGCAGGAGGAGAGGGGACTATGCGTGGGTATGCAGTTCCTCCTACTGTGTGCATTTCCTTGTCTTGTCTGCCCTGGTAGAAGCTGTAGTGTGGCACTACCTGTTGTGCATAATTTCAGTAATTTGCCAAAAGTCAGCCAATCTAAATGTTTTAATATGTTTAACTGTTTAATTAATTAGGCACATCTGAAACAGAATAAACATTCTGCTCAAAACTATATTATTTTTACAGAGAATTTACAGTGTCTTAAAGTATAGTGTAATATATATAGTACTGTATACATATCTATATATAGTATATACATATATATAGTTTAAGTAGAGTATATCTCTTTTCTGCATTGAGGTAGTGGTGGGAATATAGTGGAAACATTTGGGTTTTTGCTGTGTAGCGTTTCATTCACCCTGGAATAGCTGAATGCAGTTGTATTAAACGGCAAGAAGAGAATATTGCTATCAGACTGGAGGAAGAAAAAGAATGAGGTATTTCTTGCTTTTAAAAGAGTGACAAGTTAATTGCTTGTCTGTAAAAAAGCCTACTTATCCAAATCTGTATACTTCAGCCTTGGAAGAGGAAGGTCAGTCTGTGTTTCCTAATTCACAGCCCACCTCCGCAAGAGCTTCGTATGTGGTGCAGTGCAGAGAGGCTCAGCTGCCGCTTCTGGCAGCGGAGGTGCACTGCAGAGCTGCATCCCTACTGCACAGCAGAGGGGCAGAAATTGCACATTAGTCGCACAGTTCCTATTGTCTGGCAGAGAGACCTGCAAGAGACGTAAACTTATTTCCCATTAACTTAAAGGCTGCATGTTATTTCCTGTATGCACTGTGCGCTTGGCGAGGCGCAGCCTTGTTCAGCGCAGCTGGGAGATAACCACGCTGCCCGTGCTGTGCTCGGTGGTGATGGACCAAGGCAGCAAGCGAGCAGCCCACCAGGCCTGGCAAGAGCATGTGTGGCCGGGAAGGGACACCCGTATTTCTGGGCTTTTTGAGGTTAGAGTCGTGTGTAAGGCAGGGCTGGTGCCATGTGTGCCTTCCCTGACATCCTGGTCTCCAGCTTCCTTCCCTGCATCATCCATACACCCAGCGCTGCGGTCCAGGCTGTAACTATCCCCTCCCGCCCCGCATACACACTCATAATTTTACACTTGCTTTTAGCCCCTCTGGTCGAGACAATACCGAGTTTCTAAATCTTCTAAGGCTAGAAATAGATTCTGTTTTTTTTACAGCAGTGAAATATGCATCTTTCACATTTTTTAAGATCTTTTAAAGCAGCTGAATATACAATTACTAGGTTTTCTTCACAGAAGCCACTAATTCCCATTTCCCACATTTCTGTGTGAAATGCGTGTAACTTAGCATTTCCAGATTCAGGGGACACAGCCAGATTGCAGAAGCTGGTTTCAGTCTTATTCCCAAGTGTTTTATTTCGAATCCCTGCCTCCATGGGGGGATTTTGAGGCAAATCCTGGGAGTCTGCAAGCAGCCTGCAGACATTGTCAGTCTTAGTGGTTTCCGATCCGCTATTTGCAGGTGTGTGAAGCTCAGTTAGCAACTGAGTGCTGGGTTGTGACTCTGTCCCAGGTGGCCGTGTGGGTCGCCTCGGGGCCATGGTGCTGCCAGACCACCGGGTTACCTAGTTTCCTGAATCTCTGCATTCTGGAGATGAAGACAGGCAGCTGGACCTAAAGCGTCTTTCCTGTTTATAGAGAATTTTGATTGTTTTTGCC